TTTTTTTTTTTGTTTTTAAATTTAAGAAAAAAAGAAACTCTTAATGTTAATAACTTTTAAGTTTTGTTAAACGATTGTTTTTTATATATAGTTAATTTAAAATCAAATAGTGAAATAAAAACAAATTATTTGCACTCTGATATTTTTAGATTATAAGCAAAACAAAATAAAAATAGCCTTCGAAAAAGTAGAAAAAAAAAAAAAAATTAAAAAATAATATAAAATAGACATTGAACTTGGTGAGGTGCAACTTTCTTGTTAAACATACAAAAATTATCTCTAAAATTATTATTATTATTATTATTATTATTATTATTATTTGATACGTAAACATTGTTGGATTGAATTTTAAAATTGGTTTTGGTGATGAAAAATTTTAAGGTTTAAATCAATAGGTGAAATTTTCCTTTCGTAAAGATAATTTGTTTTTAATTGTTTATGAATCATAAAAAAAAAAAAAAAAATTGATTATGTATTTAATTTTATTATTGTGTATTCTTTAAAACAGTCATCATTATTTTATTTAATCAATTAAAACGGTTTTAAATTAAATAAGGTGAATTTTAGTCTAACAATAATTATATTATTAATTTATTCATCAAATAAAAAGTTTAAAACTCTAGTTTAAAATTTTTGTCTAGAAAAAATTTGAAAAAAAAATAAACAAAATGAATTAAACGTGATTTTAATTAATTTTATTTGTTATTAAATTAAAATATTAAATATCATAAAACGTTACGTGTAATATTTAATTTAAAATTTTTTTTTTTTTTAGTAAAAACATTGTTTATTTTGATCTCTTGGAATTTATAAATACTCATCTAATTAACGCTATTAAGTAACGGTTTTTTTTATATGTACTAAATGTTATTATTATTATTATTAATTTAAGAAATGCCTTATTATCAATTTTTAAACGTTCATCGCATATCAATCATTTTAGTAATATTTTTATTATTATTATTATTATTTGTTTCCCATTGTTTTATTTAACTTAAACATTTTGAAGGTCATCATCATCACATTAAAAAATTTCCGGAAAGTAACGTTTTTTTTTTTTTTTTTTGATTTTAAAACGTGGGATAAGAAAAAAAAAATGTCTGCTGCGTAATTTGTAAATAAGTTTTTTCGCGGTAATAAAATAAATCGTTTTTTTTTTTTTTGTAAATGATGTGTTCACCGTTTTTAAAATTCTATTTTTGTAATTATATATAAAAAAAATAATAAAATTTTTCCCCCCCCCCCACGTGTAATAATTTATATGTTATGTGATATTATTTTGTTTGCGAGATTTAATAAAAAATCTTATTTTGATATTATTTTAATTTTAGATAAATAATAATTATGAAATTTACTGAACGTTGTTAATTTTTGAATAATGATTGATAGAAATATTATTTGGTGAATTATTAACTTTATTATAATAATAATTATTACGACATTATTAAAAATGTCATTTAAAATGGAGTGGAATAGAATTATATCAATTTTATGTGTTTACGGGTTTCTCAAAGAGTTCAGGCCCTCTGAACCTTTTATATCGCCTTTTTTAAATGGTCCACATAAAAACTTCACAGAAGAAGAAGTGAGTTGTTATATTATTACAATTATAATTTTATTTTAATAATGACAAACTACATCATACGATTGAATAATAAAAAATTTTTGTATTTAAATATTATTGTTTTAGATAAATCAACAAATTTATCCAGTAGCTACATATTCTAATTTGAGCTTATTAGTAATTATTTTTCTATTGACTGATTTGTTAAAGTATAAACCTGTAATTATTTTAGGAGGGGTAGCTGGAATTATAACATGGACAATATTACCATTGGCAAAAAATTTAAGTGTTATACAAGTAAGTTTTTTCCGTCTTTCCCCCCCCCCCCCAACATTAAACTAACCACATTGACTTGATTATTAATACATTTTCAAAATATTTACATTCATTTCAACAGGTGTCTCAATTTTTTTATGGATTATTTTCTGCTACAGAGGTAGCTTATTATTCTTATTTGTATGCGAAATTAGATAAAGCACATTATCAAAGAGCGACATCATTAGCCAAAGCTGTTATTTTAATTGGTAAAGCGAGTAGTGGGTTAACATCCCAGGTATTACTTCATTTTTGTGTTATGGATTATTTAGAATTAAATTATATTACTTTGGGAGGTGTGTATTTTTTTTTTTTTTTTTTAAATATTTTCATGATTTTAATTATTTCTAAAAAGAAAAAATTAATTATATGGAGTAAAATATTTCACTGGCAAGACGAATAATTATAAATTTTATTTTTATTGTTGTTTTTTTTTTTGTTTGATACAAAAAATTTGTTTTATTTTTAAAATTTCAGCCTTAACATTAGCTACAATTTGGGCATTATTTTTTCCAAGCGTGTCTCATAGTGAGTATTTTCATAATTCCAAAGATGTAAAAAATAT